CTATCAGTACTGTAAAAAAGAAAAATCTGAATATGCAGTTAAATTACTAAAAGTTAAAATCAAAATTGAAGACAAAATATATAAATGTGTTATAGTCCACGTAGTTCAGTTGAATCCACAGTCAATGGAAGAACTTTAAAATTAATATTGAAATATTCAGTGCATGAAGTCTAAACAGTCGAGCTGGGTCGTCTACGAGGTGAAGCTGTAATAAAGTTTTTAAATATAGGATTAAATTTAGTACAATTTAAATTAATTTGAGTATTAAGACAGTGAGAGTTTTCATTTGTTTCACTTGTAATCTCCAAATCTTCCAATAAATCCAACTCAAGATAGTTTTTCTTTCTGCTAATGTCATGTAAGATAGATGAACCAGAATTGATGTTAAAATTGTGGTTGCTGGATACTAAGTGTTGACCAAAACTTGAAGAATTTGGTCTTTTCAAATGTTCAGAGACTCTAGTGGATAACTTTCTGATGGTTCTACCTACATAAGATGCATCACAATCATCACATTTTAATTTGTAAATACCACTTTTATCAAGTGTATTCATCCTATCTTTGGTATTGATTAAGAAGGAACCTAAAGTGTTATGTGATTTAAAGGAAATTTTGATGTTATCAATTGTAGAAGAAAAAAGTTTAGATATTTTATTGGAAATGCTACTAATATAAGTGAAGGAGAAATATCTGATGTTATCTGAAGCATTCGGTTGGGAAAACTGTGAAGAATATGCAAGCTTTTCTGCAATTTTTAGTTTAGCTCTAGTTAGAAGTTTGTATATAATGTTGGGATCATAGCCATTATTGAAAGCAATCTGCTTAAGAGTATTAAGTTCTGTATTAAAATTATCATCAGAGAGAGGAAATTTAAGTAACCGATGAATGTAACTGTTGAAAGCAGCCATTTTATGTTGAGTTGGGTGATTAGACGTTCCATGTATAACGTGATCTGTTTGGGTGGGTTTTCTATAAATGTTGTACTCTAAAGAATCTTTCTTACGGGAAATAGTCATATCCAAGAAGTTCCACTTATTGTCAGATTCTGGTTCCAGAGTAAAAGAGATGTTAGGATGGAGGTTATTAAGATCATCCAGAATTTGTAAAGCATCATCTTGGGTTCCCTGTATGAGAGCTATACAATCATCAACATATCTAGACCAAAAAACTATTTTGTTGTTGTTAAACCTTATATTGATATAGACTTTTGTTCCAGAGGTCCATACTACTCAAAACAACTGTCGTTTGCCTGACCGGACAAGTGTCAAAAACAGGGTACTTTTTTGCTTATTCCCCTGGCCTATTTAACAATAAACCACTGAAAACTTTTGTTTTCAAAACTTCCACAAAATGTACTATAATTTATTATCACTACAGCTGTTTCTTTCCTTTCCTTTCTAAATGGGTCTATTTTTGGCATGCATTTAGGTAAGGTAAGTAAGTAGTAAGTAAGTAAGTAAGGTAAGGAAGACTGTCTCCCTTTTATTCAAGAAATCTTGGTAGACATAATATATGTATTTGTTGAAAAGGTGGAAAAAGACAATTTAACTAAAACAGGGAAAATACGTAAACGAAAGAAATTTAAAGTGAGCCTAGCAATGAGAAAAAAAAAAGAAAATTAACAACCACAATTGCTAAGCACGGTGTAAAACCATCTTATATCTCTTGCAAGAGAAGATGTTCCGAAAACATTACAGAAGCGGTACGAACAGAAATAAATGAAGAATTTTGGAAATTGCAAAAAGACGAACAGGAAAATTTTGTTTTTAATAACGCACCTGAAGAAGTAACCCAAACGGAAAACCACAGCTAGTGTTGCGTCTAGAAGGTCGAAAAGTTTTTTATATTTTCTTAAAGACAATGACCGATGCAAAGAAAGTGTCGGCAAAATATATTTTTTATGAGAACGCTGTGATATGAAACGAAAAATGACAGAGTTATTAGAGATTCCCTTACTAAAACAAATTCAAAAGAGACGATCAACAGGAATAAACAAGGAAAGACAGAAAAATTAAAATAGATCGAAATATTATTAAAGAACATATTATAGAATCTTTCAAACCCACAAAACCACACTACCGTCGACAACACGCACCAGAACGACGTTATCTTCCCAGTGACATCACAATAAAAATAATGTATGTACTTTTATTTATCGTATGGCACTTGACTCCTTTACATTATTTCTATAGTCTATCGACTCTGGATTCGCCATTACGATATCTTCTGACCTGCCATGATAGGATCTTGTAGAACACTGTTTTGTGATGTGACAGATGGTTTGTAATTATCCGCAGTCACAGAGTGAGAATGGTCGTTTACCTCATTTGTGCATCATGTAACCGCATCTGCCGTGTTGGGTTTTGATTCGCTACAGCATAGTCCATGTGTTGCGTGGTAAGTCAAAACTTGGTGGTTTTTGTGTGATGATGGGTAAGCTGCTATTTTGTTCTTCCATCCATTCTCGAGTCCAAGTGATAGTTAAGTTGAACGCATTTTCTGTGGTGTTTTCTATTGGCGGTCATCTGGAGCGGAGACATCTGGATAGCATTTTCATTGCATTGTTCAATAGGCCATCTACTTTGTGTATATGTGGGCTGTTAAGCCAGGCTGAAGAGCAGTATTCTGCAGTTGAAAAGACAAGGACCAGGGCAGATGATCGCAAGGTGGAAGCCGATACTCCCCCTATCTTCTGAGTGAAGCTGTTTCCAGATTTAAGTTTTTCCGCTGTTTTTTTAGAGATGTTCCTTGAAAGATAGTGTTCTGTCAAGAGTTACTCCAATGTACTTTGGTGTTTTATTGTAGGCGAATGTGGTGTTTTCGAAGTGAATGTTGAGCGTTCTTCCCGGAAGCTTGTTATTTAGACGGGGTGTGGAGCTAGTTCGCGTTCGTAGTAGAATACTACACGTAGACCCTGGGTAACGCTAAATAAACTAGCAAATACTGGTATTCAGATAATCTCAGGATCTCCTGACCAGAGACACATTGCAAACAATGCCGTTAAACCTTATCAGAAGGCAAATTAACAATATGGCCCTTCTTGTTTTTTACAATTTTTTTGTTTCATGTTTCATATTTCACGTTTCTTTAATCAAAGACCTACCTAATAGTATAATTTTTAGATAATAATTCACTGGGGCTTCTTTGACCAATCAACAAGAAAACGAGTTTTAATAATTGTTAAATTATATTTCTAAGCCAAGGTTTTCGCTTTGTCTACTTTGCTTTATAACACATATAAAACACTGATTGCGAGCTTGGTTTCACAGTAATTTTTTTTCGTAAATACATAGTTAACGTATTACTAAAATATTTTTATAGTTACTTTACTGATATCATCACCTTTATATCACCGAATTAATATTTTAAACATGACAAAGGGAGATTAACAGTAAAGTGCAAGGAAAAATTTAAACTAAAAAACATTTATTTGGAGTTTAAAAAACTGGATGAAAAATTTAATCGATAACATTAACGATCCCCAGTGGATTTAAATTAAATATGAGAAACAGCTATTTATTCTTAAATTAATGTTTACTTTCGAAAGTAACCATTGCTTCTCCAATTTCCACGTCCCTGCAAATAAGTTTCGGTAAGATGTTTTCAACCCCAAAGATGAGGTAAGAGAAAAAATTAACTAGCACGTGGCAACACCAGAATAGGATCATTACCCAGATCCCCGATCCTGGGAGTTGTATTACAAATTATTAAAGTCAAAATGAAACTTGCGAAACTCGATCCGGAGTTGGCTTCACCTGAAATACAATAACAACGTGTACCGGGAGAGGGCGTGGAAGGAATATGGAAATTACTTTGTAACGTATACGTTTAGCGTAGGAAGTTTTTTTTTGAGGACTATAAGCGCAATCGTACTAGAACAAACTAAAATGCCATCGGTTACAAGCACAAGCAATCGCATGGAACATATCACTTTGTCATACTGTTTTATATATATGTATATATATATATGTATATATATATATGTATATATATATATATATATATATATATATATATATATATATATATATATATATATATATATGTAGATAAGAATAGAGAAGTCAATTTTCGCATAATACGGTTTAGGAAGCTCTGAAGAATTTGATAGAAAGCTAATTATATAGACGTCCATTGTTATTCTGTTTATCTGTTTGTTTTTTGTGGAATGGGAAATTTGGATGTTTTAATGGAGTTGGAAGCAGAGAAGGATGTTTATCTGTTCCTGGCCTTACAAGAAAGAACATCGAATCCTAAGAAGTAAGTGAGTGAAGGTCGTTGTGAACACTTGTAAAATTAATTTGTAAATAAGAGTTAAAAAGTGGTAGCAGTTCTAGTCTATAAATGCTGATTGGGAAAGGTTGCAGTTTAAGTTTTTGCAGTGTTTATTGTAAGTACAACTCAGATATTATTCATTGGGAGAATCATAGACAAAGAGATTTCTGGCAGCGAAAAGAGATCGAAACGATCGTTAGGACGTTTGATCTAGATTCCGTGTCAGCAGACCACAGGAAGGAGTTTAGCTACAGTATTTGATGAACGAATATTAGGGACATTTTAGAATTTGAAGTTAAACGTACGTTTTAAGAGCAATATTGCAGAGGCACAAAGTTTGAAACGAAACAAATAATAAAATTAATTTGTAAGGTTTTCTCTCGTGAAGTTTCGATTAACTAGTATCTGTTATATTTTTAAAGCGACTTTGAAGGGCTATTGTGGAAATGTTGTTGGAAACTGTTGTTATTTTCTTGTTATCTAATTAAATAAATATTTAAAAATGATAAGTTTTAAGTATATTCTAGTCATTGCTATCAGATAAAATTAAATTAATTTGAAAACACGAAATTTTAGAATAATACGGTATTATATTTTGTTATCTCGGTATTGATTTCCTTCCACATGAATGGTTTCCTTTCACAATCAAGATTACACTATAAGGTAGAAACCACTTTTACGTACATTCGCAGATATATTAACGCCCAAGAATAAAATCAACATACCTGACAGGCGCATACTTCTCCGAAGCCGCCTTTCCCGAGTACCCTGTACATCCGAAAGGTTTTGTAAGTAACTGACTGCGACTCCAGCCATTTCCATTGTAAGTACCTATGAAAGTACATGGAGGCTGTAAACTCCCGAAACGGTTCACCCGCGAGAGTTTCTTTGATAGCTTGGACGCACGGAGCGAACAAGTCTTTATGACCGTTGGTAAGTTTGTCGCTAGTTGGAAAAATCACCCCCAACTGAAACAAACAAAAATTTTTATTAGTATTTACATTGTTCATTTAAGAACATTAATTAATGACATGTTAAACATTTAATAAAGAAATATTGAAGGGAAAATGGAAATAAAACAAACATTTTAATAAAGGTGATACGAGTTTATCAGTTTCAATTCAAGAACAAATGAAACCCGTTAAGTTGGCGTTTGTCAAATTCTGAATTTCCAGGATTCTGGCTTATATTTCAGCAATCATATTGGTTTCCAAATTTGTTAAATTAAATCTTCCAATATTTGTATTACTTTTTAAATATTTATCATTTTTATAAAATATTATATCATTACTATATCGTTCACTTTTTTTATCTATGGCCTTCATTTATCATATTTTCAATTAATTATATCTAAATATCTTATCTGAACTGAAGAAGTTGCTGTATTTACACGAAAAACTGTGGATGATCTACACACCTGTAGTTGTCGCTCTCTAGTAATTATGTAAAACTGGAAATCGGCATCAACTTCCTTAGTTTTAATAGAAGTAAGAAACCACTGAAAAAATTGATATTTTTTTAAATATTCATCTGTTTTTAAAAGCCTAGAATACTACTAAAATAGATAAAAAATGTAAAATTGATGAAGAATAACAGCACTTTTGACAAATTAGGTCTACAATAGAGGCCATATTCATAACCATACAAATTGCCGAGAAAGCATTGGAATATAATAAATCTGCGTATCTGTGCTTTATAGATTTGACTAAAGTTTTCGATTGTGTCTGAATAAAATATGTGTTAAGATTATTAAAGGAGAAAAATCAGCTTAACAAGATGACAAAAATAATTAAATACATTAATTCAAAAAACAAAACCAGAATAAAAGTTGAGAATGAACTAAAATCGAAAGTAGAAATCAACTTGGGAATCCGTCAGATGATAGCTTAAGCTCATTATTTTTTATTTTAATAGTTAAGTTAATATAAGTAATATATAAAGAGATTAACAGTAGAGGACAAGGATCGATGGAAAAAAACAAACAAAAATCCTCTGCTATGTATACCAAGCAATCTTAATCTCTGATAATGAGAATAGCCTACAGTGTAGACATAGAAATTTAACACAGTAGCGAAGAACTAGTAGTAAGATTGCTCCAGGAACGTTCGATAGATGGGAATGACCTTAAAATCATAAAAAATCTTTATACAAATCAAATGTCATCTGTGAGAGTAGGACTGGAATCTACATCATATTTCTCAATCGAAAAAGGAGTACGACAGGGTTGTGTTTTGTCACCCCTTCGTTTTAATCTTTATTCTAAAACGATTTTCGATAGAGCCTTAAATGACACTAAAGATGAAATCAAAATCGACGGACAGACTATTAGTAATCTTCGCTATGCTGATGATACAGTCATAATAGCTGATAGATAAGAAGCGCTACAACGATAGAATAAACACTGAAGGAGAACGACTGGGCTTGAAGATTAATATAGACAAGAGGAAGGTAATGGTGGTTAGAAGAACACGAAATATGCAATTAAATATAAGAGTAATCAAGAAGTACATCCAAAAGGTCCCCAAGTTCAGATATCTCGGTAGTTGGATAACTGAAGATCTAGATCCAGACATAGAGATACGTAGCAGGATTGAGCAAGCCAGAACATTTACTAATATGAGAACCTTGATAAGCAACAGCCGCCTCAACTTAATGCTTCGATATCGCTTTGTAAAATGTTACATTTACTCCATACTGCTATTGGAGTAGAAACCTGGACCATAAAGGCCAATGTAATGAACCGATTGGAAGCCTTTGAAATGTGGGTGTTTAGAAGACTACTTAAAATTCCCTGGACAAATCACACAATAAATGTCGAAGTATTAAATCGTATGGGCAGGGAACGAGAATTGCGTCCAATAATAAAAAGAAGAAAAACTGCTGATCTGGGTCAGATATTTCGAAATTTCAAGTATCAGTTCTTAAAGCTTATTATGGAAGGGAAGATAGAAGAAAAACGGGGCACCGGAAAAAAGAAATACTTGCGGCTTAAAAACATAAGAGATTGGATAAACCTCGATGCAACCATGCACTCTTTAGAGCCACACAAGATCGAGAGGACTATGCCAGAATTGTCGTCAACATCCACTAATTGGATAGGGCACCATAAGAAGAAGAAGAAAAGCGAAGAACTACAGCATAAAGATATCAACAGCTAAGACCAAATCTCGTGGCAAAAAGACCCAGAAGATGCAAAATAGTAATTAACGATGAGAGTCTCGAGATTCGAATATCTTCTAGTAGAACTTACTAGCTACGGAGATCTTCATCTTGAAAAAGAGGGCGTTCGAAAGCAGGCAAACAAAGCGGCTTACGTGTCAGGATGAAAATAAGAGCCGCAGCGGAAACCAACTGAATATTGAGAACATCAGAAATAAGAACGTTGAGGTCAATAATTGGGCAAACACTCGGAGATAGAATACCGAACGACTGAAAACGATATATCTGTAACATACAAGATAGTACGTTGGGGAAGACAGAGAAGAAAATAATGGAATCAGCATGTCACGAGAATGGGCAGAGAGAATATGGGAAGACTCTTTAAAACGTCAGGAGATGACTGGCAGTCAACATCACAGCTACGAATACTATCCCAACCTTGGTGAAGAATAGGCCAAGGTGCTTATTATAAGAAGAAGAGTATATTGCTGCTTTTGGAAAATGTCTGACTTGAGCGTGGATCGAATTAGAATTAAGTCAACTATTATATTGATTGGCAAAAGATAACCACCAGTTTTTTTGAAATAAAATATGTCTGGACCTTTGCTACACAATTAAAATGGTTAAATTTATATAAAAGTGGTTTTGTATTAAAAGAATTAAAATAAAAAACGTTATCTATATTTACAGAATTAGTAAGAAATTCTAAAATACCTAGATTAAATATTTTTGCATTTTCATTAAACCATCCAAAGTGTCATTATTCATGGATAAATTTAGTTAATCCGGCTTTATTAAACGATTTATTAATGCAACTCTCATTTAAATATCCATTGTAATTTTTCCGCAATAAATTCGGCGAACCTGATATTAGGGAGACAAAAGAATCGTTTTTAGATAAACAAATATTAATGTCGAAGGGATTTAAGATTTAATTGTGGTTTCAAAAAGCTCCATTGTTCGCTTTTGCAAAAGCAAAAAATAGGTCGTCGTAACATAATAGGTTCTCATATTTATAACTCTCAGGAGTTCGAATCTGTGCAGCCACAATCCATTTGGTTTTTTTCGATGGTTTACCAAGTTTAAAACTCATACAGGTGATGAGTCCGAAAGTGATGAGGACGAAGAAAATCTTCAAATACTTCAAATACAAATTTTTAAAATTTGTTTGAAAGGACAAATTAACTGGAATTTAGAACTAACTTCAGAAACAATGAAACTTCTAGTGCAATTGGTATATTAAAATATAAAATTAAAAAACTATCCAAAACAATTTAAAAAATTTTCAAACTGTTTTCGGTCCAATCAGACCATCATCAGTGATACTTGAAACATTTGCAAAAAGCTACTTACAAAACTGTATAAAAACCTTTAGTTTACGTATAAAATATATTTAAATGACATAAATCGATGATTATGAATTTTTAACTAAAAGGCTTACTAAGCCTTTACTCGAAAATGACGACCACGTCTGGCTCAAGCCTAAGTTACTAGCCAACTCTGGTACGGGATAGGCAATGATCCCCGTAAACGCCCTGCAAAGTTTCATAGCTTTGGAATAATTTGCCGAGTGGATTCCGGTGATTCTGCGAGTTCGATTGACCGGGAATTTAAAACGTCACGCTCAACAATTGCTGGAATGATGAAACGGCGAGAGAAAATTATTATGCAATTGCAAAAGGAAAACGCGTTCGGTCATCAAATCACAGTGACATTGAAAGTGCTGTGCTCGATTGGTTCAAACAACAACGCGCAAACAATGTACCCGTGAGTGGGCCGATGCTTCAGGTAACGGCTGACACTTTCGCTGTGATTTTAAAGAATTTTAAATACAATGCTTCCTGGGTTCAACGTTTCCGAGCTCGTCACAATATTGTCCATGGAAACATTTCAGGTGAGTCAGCAGTTGTTGACAAATCAATTATAAATGACTGGGTTGAAAATGTGTAGCCTACACTCAGGTCCAGCACTAGCGATGATGAAATTTTTAATGCTGACGAGATGGGGTTATTTTTTAGACTGACACCTGATCACGCGTTAAAGTTTAAAGGGAAGAAATGTTCCGGCGGTAAACTCTCAAAAGAGCGAGTTACAGTTCTTGTTGCAGCCAACATGTCCGGTTCCATAAAAAGGAAGCTTTTGGTGATAGAAAAAAGTAAAATGCCGCGCTGTTTTAAAAAACGTGAAAAATCTCCCTGTTGATTACCCTGGATACCCCGGAAAAAAAACCCTGGATGACGTCGGCTATAAAAGACTTTCAATAAAATGGCACAGTGTACTGTTACAACAAAAGAAACACAGAATTTGAATTGTCGACAACAAGCCACACCCCCCCCCCAGTTGACAGGTTAAAACAAATTAAACTCGTTTTTCTGCCTCCAAATTGTACGTCCGTACTGCAGCCCATTGACCAAGGAGTTATAAGAAGTTTAAAACATACTTTCGGAAATAATTGATGTACAAAATCATCAAAAAAAGAGAGAATAACGACGATACGAAAGTCAGTATTCTTGACGCTATACTAATGATATCAAAGGAATGGAAATCTGTGCGGAACGAAACCATCATCAACTGTTTTCGTTTTTCCGGCCTAACTAACGACTTACAATCATCAGGAATCGCATACAACGATATTGCACAAACGCATTTGCAGGTTGCGGTTTCCCTTCTCAGTTCTGACTGCTCTGCAGATAATTATGTACGAGTGGATGACGAAATAAGTACGAGCGAAGAACTGTCAGATATTGACATCGTACTGAGTCACCAAACTACTGATAAACAAAGTGCTGATGAGGCTGATGAAGAATTG